CAGCCTCCCAAGTAGCTGGGACTACAGGCGCCCGCCACAACGCCTGGCCATTTTTTGGTTGCAGCCATCATTGTTGTTTGGCAGGCCCGGGCTGGGGATACTAACCCACCACCTTAGGTGTATGTGGCTGGTGCCTTAGCCGCTTGAGCCACAGGTGCCGAGCCTCAATTTCTTCTTTAATGAGTTTTAGTAATTTGTGTCTTTCAAGAATTTTTCCAGTTTCATCTATATTATCAAATTTATTGGCATAAAATTACTTAAAATACTCCCTTACTATTATTTTATTTTTTTAAAGGAAACTGGGTCTTCTTCTGATGCCCAGGCTGTATAGCACAGTGGCATAATCAAACCCCACAGAACTCCTAGCCTTAAGTGATCCTCCTGCGTTTTAGACATAGAATCTGTAGTAGCATTCAATCTCTCATTTCTAGTAATGAAAATTTGTGAATTCTCTCATTTACTCCTGATCAGTTTGGCTAGAGGTTTATCAATTTTACTGATCATGTCATGTTAGCTTTTTTCTTTCTTTTTTTTTTTTTGGAGACAGAGTCTCACTTTGTCACTCTGGATAAGAGCCATGGCATCATAGGTCACAGCAACCTCCAACTCTTGGGCTCAAGCAATCCTCTTGCCTCAGCCTCCCAAGTAGCTGGGACTACAGGTGCCCTCCATAATGCCAGCCTATTTTTTAGAGATGGGTCTTTCTCAGGCTGGTCTCAGACTCATAAGCTCAAACTATCCACCCACCTCACTCTCCTAAAGTGCTAAGATTATAGGTGTGAGCCACCATGCCCAGCTAGCTTTTGATTTCATTGGTTTTTCTCTACTATTTTTCATTTCACTGATTTTTGCTTTTTTTTGTTTGTTTCCTCTCTTCTGTTTGTTTTGGTTTCGCTCTTCTTTTTATAGTTTCCTAAGTCACTGATTTGATGTTTCCTCTTTTGTACATAAACATTTAGGCATCTGGTATTAATGAATTTCTGCTTCCCACAAATTCTATTATACTTTCTCTTTTATTCAGTTCAAAATGCTTTCAAATTCCTCTTTTTTCTTTTATTCCTGATTGCCTTAGAATAATGTTTCTTTTGACTTAGTCCTAGATTCATGGATTATTTTAGAAATATGTTACTTTATCAAATTTGGAGAAGATTTTCCATATATCTTCGCTATTTATTTCTGATTTTATTGTGCTAAAAAAAGATAATCTGGATAGTTTACACCTTTTTACATTTATTAAGACTCGTTGTGTGGCCCACAATGCACCCCTTGTGCACATGAAAAGAATATCCTACTGTTGTGTAGGGTGCTCTGTGAAGACCAATTCAGTTAAATTGGTCGACAGCATTATTCAAGTCTTCTATGTCCTTACTAATTTTCTGTATACTTGTACTATTAATTGAGAGAGTTGTGTTGAAATCTCTAGATCTAATTGTGGATTTGTCTATTTCTCTGGGCATTTCTTTTAGGTTTTACTTCAAATATTGTGAGGTTCTATTATTAGGGGCATAAATATTTTAAATTGAAAAGTCTTACCGTATCATCAAGACCATCTATATGCAAAACCACTGTTTTGGCACGTTTGTTTGTAGTTCCTAGGAAAAACTGAGCTTTTCTTCGACGTGAATTCATGTCACTGAAACTATCACCATCTGCCATATTGGAGGACTGAAGAATGTCATAGATTTCAGAGGCCAGAAGTTTTGTTTCTCCTGGAGTTGTAGTCCTTGAAAAGAAATATATATAAAATAAATCAGTCTTAATCACTTTTACTGATTCTGTAATTTTAATTTCTCATCTTTGTGGAGCACTGTTTCCTTTCTTTCTGATGCCTTGTTCAAGTGAAAAGCAACACCAAGGATCTTAGAATAATCAATAATGTAGAAAGGCCATCTAGTCTATAATGGTCTTCTAACTTCATTTTAAACCTGTGGGTCATTGAGATTCAAAGCCCCTCAGTATAGATAGAGGTATAAAAACAGATTTAATATCAAAATCACTAATTAAAAAAGTCAAATAGCAAGTTCAGGTTTAATATGCCCCTGGATTATGGCTGATACTCAACTCTCAGTTGGAAAGTACCCTGACCTGCCAGGAAATAAAACATAAAAATCCAAAAGGAGAGAACAAGTTAGAAAAGAATCATTCCTACATAGTATTATCACCTAATGCAAAGATATCTTAGTAGGACCAAATGATTGTTTATTAATTTACATTTTCTTTTATATCATAAAACTACAACTCAAACAAATGTTTTCATTTTTAAAATTAATCAGCTGGCTCAGCGCCTGTGGCTCAAGTGGCTAAGGCGCCAGCCATATACACCTAAGGTGGCGGGTTTGAATCCAGCCCGGCCCCGCCAAGCAACAACGATGGCTGCTAACAAAAAATAGCCAGGCGCTGTGGTGGGCACCTGCGGTCCCAGCTACTTGGGAGGTGGAGGCAGGAGACTCACTTGAGCCCAGGCGTTGGAGGTTGCTGTGAGCTGCAATACCACAGCACTCTACCCAGGGGGACAGCTTGAGGCTCTGTCTCAAAAAAAATTAAAAAATAAAAATAAATAAATAAAATTAATCAGCTACAGCTCTTCAGATCAACATCTAGAGTCATGCTATGTGATAAAATCTGTCTGCAATGATGGAAATGTTCTCTACCTACACTCTTCACTCGCAGGAGGCTACTGAGCCCACAATGTGATCACACCCCTTGTGCACATGAAATGGCACAAGGCCCTTCAAATGTGGCAAGTGTAACTAAAGAAATACATTTTATTTACTTTTTTTTTTTTGAGACAGAGCCTTAAGCTTTCCCCCTGGGTAGAGTGCTGTGTCATCACAGCTCACAGCAACCTCCAACTCCTGGGCTCAAGTGAGTCTCCTGCCTCAGCCTCCCAAGTAGCTGGGACCACAGGCACCCACCACAACGCCTGGCTATTTTTTGGTTGCAACCATCACTGCTGTTTGGCGGGCCCAGGCTGGATTTGAACCTGCCGCCTTAGGTGTATGTGGATGGTGCCGTAGCCACTTGAGCCACAGGCACCAAGCCTTTATTTACTTTAAATTAAATTAAATTTCCACATGTGGTGAGTGTCTACCATAATGAACAGTACAAATCTAATGGTTCTTTATTAATTGAATTGAACAAATAGGAAGTGCACATACCTGTAGGAAAAGAATCCTCAGTTCACCTACAATTGGGCTCAATTAAGTCAGAACTCTTCATACTCAACACTCTAAAATGAAGAACTTAAAACTCTATTTGGGGGGTAGTGCCTATGGCTCAAGGAGTAGGGTGCCGGCCCCATATACCAGGGGTGGCAGGTTCAAACCCAGCCCTGGACAAAAACTGCAAAAAACCCCACAAAACCCTATCTTGGGGCTCAGCGCCCATAGCACAGTGGTTACGCCCCAGCCACATAAGCCGAGGCTGGCGGGTTTGAAACCAGCCAGAGCCAGCTAGACAACAATGACAAGTGCAAAAATAGCCAGGTGCTGTGGCAGGTGCCTGTACTCCCAGCTACTTGGGAGGCTCAGGCAAGAGAATCACTTAAGCCCAAGAGTTGGAGGTTATGTGACGCCATGGCACTCCACTGAGGGCAACATAGTAAGACTCTGACTCAAAAAAAGAAAAAAAACCCTATTTGACTGTCTACGTTAGCTCATCGTATCCTTTTATTATTTTCAGACTGACCATGACACTAGGCAAATCCTATGTCGGCCATGTACTTTCATAAATTCTTCCTCACTGCTCTTTGTCCTAGAATGTTTTCCACACATCAACTCTTGCTCATCCCTCTCCTTGGCTTGAAGAGCTTTACACAAACCATAGACTTTCCAACTCTTTTTTTTTTTTTTTTTTTTTTTGAGACAGAGCCTCAAGCTATCCCCCGGGGTAGAGTGCCATGGCATCACAGCTCACAGCAACCTCCAACTCCTGGG